TAGTGTTGCTCTTGGTCTTATTTCTCTTGGATATACTCAGTGTTTCATTGTTATATTACTGGTGCATCATTGATTTCTTCTACAGGGTTTTTGCTGCTCTCTGTAGTATGTGATACTATCTGCCGGTTAAGGGAGATAATAGGGTCCTTGTTGATGGAAAAGTTTAAAGTTTAGGGTGTTTGTATTGGTTGTTGCTTCTGTTGTCTGTTTTATTGGTTGATCACTTCTGTGTTCTTGTGACAGCCTTGGTTGTCTTGTTTGGCCTTGGCTTGTCCTGTCCTTGTTCGGATTTCTTGTATATTCTCTTTTTTATTTATTCAAAGCTTACCTATCCATCCAACTAAAAAAAAATAATAAAATAAAAATTGATGGTTAGTGAACTAAAGATGAGTCACATGAAATGAGATTAGATTTTGATTGAGCTGGGCAATTGGTGTCTTGCGAGAGCCAGGGTTTCTTGAGCTGGCTTAATCTCTTTGGGAATTGGTTTTATTGGACAGAAGCCTTCTAAGATGTGAGATATCACTGCTCCATCTGTTGTTGATTTTCTGTTTATTTGTACATCACATATCACTGCTCCATCTGTTGTTGATTTTCTATTTATTTGTACATCAGTTCTTGCGGGTGAAATAATCAAACTAGGCCTACTCAACTTTAAAAAAATTAACTCAACTCTGTTTTTGAAACTTTAGATTTGGGTAAATTGCATTATTTTCTCATCTAGGTATTTTTTACGTTGTCTTACTATTGCTTTGGATTTAATAGTCCGAAAGAAAAAAATAAAAATAAAAAGGGATTTGTCAAAATTAAGAAATGCTGTAATTAAATTGAAATCATTTTCTTATATGGGACTTTGAAGAAAGTCTCGAGGGAAGAGAGTTTATCACATATGTTTATTTGCATTTGGCTAAGCACATGGCTTAAAACTGTTTGTTACTCTGTACTTTGTTCACAGTATTCTATAGTGCAGGTATGTCATGTTGCTAGCTTTTTATAATGGGTTCACATGCAATTTTTAATTATTTTTAGAAATTCATGATAATGGTTAATTTGGGATATTAGAAAAAATATTATTGTGAATTGTGAAAGAGGAAGTAATTGATTACATAATTAAATAAAAAGAGATTGAGTGTGTGACCTGGCAAGGAGAAAAGGTGGGCAAAATGTCACATCCCAGTATGGTAGCTGTTACAGGGTTAAATTACACCACGAATTTTTGCCTCTGTAATGGCACTTGGGGCCACCAAGTCTCAGCCAACACAACAACACAATACACACAGTATAGAAATGTAAAGAAGGCACACACAGTTTACAGGGACAAGCCCTAACCTTTGCTCATATTAAACATATTACAAAGGAACATGAGTTCGTACAAGGAACAACCAAGGCTCACACCCTCCTCTCTGTTCCCTCTACAAAGCCCACCTTAGCATTATATAGGCCACTCTCAAAACCGCCCATAACTGCCCACTAAGATGATGGATGACACCCCCATCCACCTAGGGTCGTGCTGGCACCCTCCAAATGTGCCAGCACTATAATGTAGTTGACAAGCCCAACTGCTAGACTTGTTGGCATGTTCTGCTCATGCCACATAACCACAAGAAGTTACATTCTGCATAGTGGAAGAAACCACCCTTAACCGCCTGTGTATTGGTCCTCTCAGAATTGTGCCACATGCTTGGGAGGTTACTCAGCACTCCCCCACTTCCTATGATGAGTAAGGAGGGCCAGTAACTTCCCCCAACCGACCGAGCCCACTAAGCCACCACCTCTTGTAACCGCAAGCCATGACTTTGTGTTGTCTATGCTCTAGCCACATCTGAGTCAACCTTGTGAACCTAGCCCAAGTCCACCAATCTGCACCCACATATATATGTCTCTGAATGCACGGCGTGCCAAGCCATGCACGCTCGTGCGCACGCTCGGGTGTACACCAAAGTACACGCCGGCGCACACACTAGTGCCCTTCTTCGCGCGCCATGTTTGAACCCTCATGCGCCCGTGGCTGTACGCCCGCCTGGACGCCCGTGCGCACGCCGAGCTAGACGTTCACGCACACTAGGTTGGTCGCCTGCCCGCGTGCCCACTTGTTTGCACACCAGCGCGCGTGTCGGTGCCCACTTGTTTGCCCTTCAATATCTTGGATGCTCCCCACTTGTGCAACCATCTTGGAGTGGTGCAACACGTGCCCACACACGTTGGCTAAACCCTCTAAAGAAGCCATGCCATAGCCCAACCGATGTGCTCAACAGACCCCCCTAGTATAGTCTTAAGGAAATCCAGCACTTTGACAGGTGTAAACATCACCCATGCTTGAGGAGTTATAATGGCCTTTCAGGCCTTTCCCGACATCCAAATTAAGTACCGTCTGCGCCAACCAGCTTCTATGGACTCAAGGTACCTCCCATAAAGATCTCGAGTCAAATCTCCAAGTTTCACTTTTCGCCATATTTACGAAAGTGCCATTGGGCACCCCCAGTGCACGCCGAGCATCCTTTTAAGCATCTTGTGTGCACGCTGAGCATCTTGTGCACGCTGACAACCCACTGAGCATCCTCATGGCTGTCTAACCAAAGCCAAAGTATTCCCAAGACATGACATGGCCTTGAAATGCCCATGTCTTCCCTTGGACAACCGTCAAGGGGCTAACAAACCACCCCCACCAGAAGAAGTCGACGCCCTCGTCGACTTGTCCAAGTACTCCCTTACCTGTTTCTCAAACTGCCATAATGTCACATCCCTTTCCCAACTCACTTCTACTTTACTGCATCATTTCCATTGCACCAAGTAATCAGTTCTGCGATTTTTCTTACTCTGACCCTGGGTCCGGTGAGACAAAATCTTCTCCACCTCCTTGTTAAACTGCAACCGAATAACAGGTGGGGCTCTCTTAACCTGCTGTCTTGATGTATCTGCAGTGTCCTCATGAAAAGGCTTGAGGAAACTCACATGAAAAGTAGGATGGACCTTCAGTCTCTCAGGTAACTGTAATCTGTAAGCAACATTCCCCACTTTCTTCACAACTTCAAATGAACCATCATACTTCTGAATCAGCCCTCTGTGAACAGTCTTGCTGCTTATCTTCTTCCAAATCTGTGGAGTCAACATCAACAGAACCTTGTCTCCCACTTGGAACTCTAATGGCCTTCTCCCTTTATCTGCATACTTTTTCATCCTTCTCGTAGCCTTGGCAAGGCTGTCCCGTGCCTCTTCCACCATCTCTTGCATGGAACGGGCATATTGGTATGCTGCAGGGCATCTTCCCCCAGTCCTCTGCACTGCCACCTCCTGTGGTGTGCGAGGTTGTTGCCTTGTTGCCAACTCAAAGGGACTCATTCCTGTTGCTGAAGACCTATGCAAATTATAAGAGAATTGTGCAGTGTCTAGCAACTCCAGCCAATTTTTCTGACTTGTAGTGACATAGTGCCTCAGATATTCTTCCAATAACTGGTTCATCCTTTCAGTCTGTCCGTCAGTCTGAGGATGGTTTGCTGTGGAGAACTTCAGTTCAGAACCCATCAAGCCAAATAGCACTGTCCAGAACCTTCCCGTAAATCTGGTGTCACGATCACTAACAATATCTTCGGGCAAGCCAAAATATTTCACCACAAACTTATGAAATAGACCAGCAGCAACTTCCGCTGGGCATGCATGTGGTGCAGCAATAAAAATTGCATACTTAGATAATCTATCTACAACCACAAAAATAGATCTCATACCTTCCACCTTAGGAAAACCAGAAATGAAGTCCATTGAAACTGACTGCCATGGACGCTCTGGTATAGGCAAGGGTTGCAGTAGCCCTGCCTCCTTCTTCCTCTCATGCTTGTCTTTCTGACAGACCAAGCAAGTCTTGACATATAACTCTATGTCATCCTCCATCTTGGGCCAGTAATATGATCTGGATATCAACGCCAGCATTCTATCCACCCCTGGATGTCCAGCCCACTAAGGATCATGCATTTCCCGCATTAGTTCCCGTCTCAAACCTCCAACAGGAACATATAATCTACCTCCTCTGGCGTAGAGTAGATTATTCAATCCAATACTTTCTGACTTCACCATCAGCAACCTGTTGCTTAAGTTTCTGATAGGCATTGTCGGACTGAGATTGCTCTTTGATTCTGTCAAAGAAATCAGTTTACACCGTTATCAACGACGCCACATACTCCTGCACTTCTTTCTAACTCAAGGCATCAGTAACCTGATTCTGCTTTCCAGGTCTGTGAACCTACACAAAATTGAACTCCCCAAGAAACTCTTGCCAACGAGCTTGCTTTGGAGTAAGCTTTTTCTGTGTCTTGAAGTAGGTATTGGCCACATTATCAGTCACCACTGTAAACTTGGTACCCAACAGATAGTGCTTCCATGCGTCAAGACAATGTATCACTGCAGTCATCTCCTTCTCGTGAGTTGTATACCTCTGTTCAGCATCCTTAAGCTTCCTGCTTTCAAAGGCACATGGGTGTCCTTCTTGGACTAGGACCCCACCAATTGCTCTATCAGAGGCATCAGTATGCACTTCAAATGGCAAACCAAAGTCAGGCAGTCTCAAGACCGATTCTGTAGACACTGCCTGCTTAAGCATCTCAAAAGCATTCTGGCACTCCTCAGACCAAACCCACTGTTTGTCCTTCTTCAGCAAGTCCGTTAAAGGATTAACCTTCTTGGAATACCCCTTTATAAACTTTCTGTAGTAGTTTGCCAACCCTAGAAAAGATCTCAACTCTGTCACTTTGGTAGGTGCGGACCAATCAAGGATGGCTTTCACCTTTCTCTCATCCATTCTGACATAGCCCTTACTGATCCAATGCCCCAAAAACATCACTTCTTGGCGACAAAACTCACACTTCTCCTTTTTGACAAATAACTGAAACTCCTTCAGTTTTGAGAAAACCAATCTCAAGTGCTTTAAGTGATCTTTCAATGACTCACTATAGACTACAATGTCATCCAAATAAACAACAACAAAGCGATCGATGTAGTCATAAAACACATTATTCATCCAACAGGAAGGTTGCTGGGGCATTAGTTAGCCCAAACGGCATTACAAGAAATTCATAAGACCCATAACGAGTTACACATGCAGTTTTGGGTTCATCTCCTTCTGCTATACGCACCTGCCAGTAACCTGCACCTAAATCCAGCTTAGTAAAGTAGGATGCCCTTGACAACCTGTCAAATAAATCAGCGGCATTGGGCACTGGATACTTGTTCTTCACAATCACCTTATTCAGAGCCCTATAGTCCACACACATTCGCATTGAGCCATCCTGCTTCTTCTGGAACAACACTGGCGCGCCATATGGTGCCTTGGATGGTTGAATATAGCCAGACTCCAGCAACTCATCCAACTGTCTACGCAGTTCAGCCAGTTCTGAAGGCGCCATCCGATATGGGGCCTGAGCAGGAGCCCTTACACCCGGCTCCAACTCTATCTTGTGATCAACAGCACGTCGAGGGGGCAATTGCTTGGGTAGTTCTAGTGGCATCACTTCTGCAAATTCCTCTAGAATTTCAGCAACAGAATTCGGAACTTCAACAAGCTGGTCCGGTTTGATCTCTATCATAGCTGCAAGAAAGGTAGAGTCTCCCCTCTTTAAACCTGTTTTCACTTGTAATGCAGAGATTATTTCGATGCAGCCATATTTACGATCTTCCTTCTTTTGGTGCCCATAAAGTGCCACTGATGGAATAAAACATGGACAACTCCTGTCCCAAATAAAAACTCCTCCCAAATATGGCACAACTACTACTCTGGCTTTCGTAAGGAACTCAATTCCAAGAATTAGATCAAAATCATCTAAGGGTACAGCCATAAGACTAACTACGGCCTCCCAACAACCAACTTTCATAGAAGTGGTGGCCATGCCTAAGACAGGCTTGGCTTCAGAATTCATAGCTTTCATCTTATTAGCATATGGAATTAACTTTAAATTAAAGTTACTTACTTCCCTCTGCGCAATGAAGTTATGAGTGGCCCCCGTGTCCACCATTGCCAAAACTTCCTTGCCGTTCAGCGTCACCTGAATGAACATGAGCCCTTTCAACTCCATGGATTGTTCTTTAGTAAGAGCATTCAGCATTTGCAGAGGATTAACTCGGGTTGGACCAGATTCCGAGTCTGAGTCTCCTTTTGAATCAGCGACAATAGCACTCAGCTTCTCCCTCTTGGGGCAGTCCCTAACACGATGGGGACCATTGCAGATGAAACAACCGTAGTTGGGCTTAGTCCCACTACTACTCCCTTTGTTATTGTAATCTGCCTTGGCCTTGACAAAGCCACCGCCTTTATCCTTCTTTTGATTCTTGTCCTTCTTCTTGTCCTTGAACCTAAAGGACTGGCCTTTGTCTTTCTTCCCCTCCTTGGACTTCTTCTTGTCTTGTGTAGTAGACCCAGTCATCTTGAAATCTACAAGACAATCTGCCGCTGTCATGGCAGTAGGAAGGTCCCTCACACCTTGCCTACGGAGTTCTGCCTGAGCCCATGGTTGCAATCCGGACATGAAATTGAACAGCTTGTCCTCCTCTGACATATTTCGAATGTCCACCATCAAGGAACTAAAGTCCTTCACATGGTCACGAACGGTACCTGTGTGCTTCAATTTCTTCAGAGATTTCCTTGCAATCCATGCAGTGTTCTGAGGCAAGAACTGGTCCTTCAATTCTTTCTTAAGGGTCTCCCAAACTTCAATCCGAGGCCTACCCGCAGAAGCATCGTCCTCTGTCTGTGTGCGCCACCATAGTTTTGCATCACCAGACAAATACATGCTTGTAATGGTCATCTTCTCGCCATCAGGGATTCGAGCAGCCTTAAAGTACTGCTCCATGTCCCATAGGAAATTCTCCAACTCTTTGGCATTTCGGGTACCACTGAAAGACTTGGGATCCGGCACCTTGATCTTCTACGAAAGAGGATCACCACCGCCTCTGGAACTCCCATGAATGGCCCTCTTCACCAAGGACACTTCATCTTCAAGGTCTTTCAGGTTCTTCTTGAAGACATCAGTCAATGACTCAACATCTTCAGAGATACGGGTCAATTGCTCTTTGGTGGCCTGCATGAAGTCACCAAACCCATCAGGATCAGTCTTCAAGATCTCCACTTCAGAAGCCAAGTTTTCAATTCGAACAACAAGGCTCTCTGCACTATCTTATACCTCTGTTTCTATAGGAAAACCCACAAACTCTTCCAAACGGGAAACTCTCTCAGGAGTATTACCTCCAGCCATTGTAGAACGGGGCTCTGATACCAATTGTTACAGGGCTAAATTACACCACGAATTTTTGCCTCTGTAATGGCACTTGGGGCCACCAAGTCTCAGCCAACACAACAACATAATACACACAGCAAAGAAATGTAAAGAAGGCACACACAGTTTACAGGGACAAGCCCCAACCTTTGCTCATATTAAACATATTACAAAGGAACATGAGTTCGTACAAGGAACAACCAAGGCTCACACCCTCCTCTCTGTTCCCTCTACAAAGCCCACTTTAGCATTATATAAGCCACTCTCAAAACCGCCCATAACTGCCCACTAAGATGATGGATGACACCCCCATCCACCTAGGGTCGTGCTGGCACCCTCCAAATGTGCCAGCACTATAATGCAGTTGACAAGCCCAACTATTAGACTTGTTGGCATGTTCTGCTCATGCCACATAACTACAAGAAGTTACATTCTGCATAGTGGAAGAAACCACCATTAACCGCCTGTGTGTTGGTCCTCTCAGAATTGTGCCACATGCTTGGGAGGTTACTCAGCACTCTCCTACTTCCCATAATGAGTGGGAAGTGCTAGTAACTTCCCCCAACCGACCGAGCCCACTAAGCCACCACCTCTTGTAACCGCAAGCCATGACTTTGTGTTGTCTATGCTCTAGCCACATCTGAGTCAACCTTGTGAACCTAGCCCAAGTCCACCAATCTGCACGCACATATATATGTCTCTGAGTGCATGGCGTGCCAAACCATGCACGCCCGTGCGCACGCTCGGGTGCACACCAAAGTGCACGCCGGCGCACACACAAGTGCCCTTCTTCGCGCGCCATGTTTGAACCCTCATGCGCCCGTGGCTGTACGCCCGCCTGGACGCCCGTGCGCACGCCGAGCTAGACGCTCGCGCATACTAGGTTGGACGCCTGCCTGCGCGCCCACCTGCATGCCCACATGCGCGCCGCTGCACACCAGGGCGCGTGTCGTTGCCCACTTGTTTGCCCTTCAATATCTTGGATGCTCCCCACTTGTGCAACCATCTTGGAGTGGTGCAACACGTGCCCACGCACGTTGGCTAAGCCCTCTAAGCAAGCCATGCCATAGCCCAACCGATGTGCTCAACAGACCCCCCTAGTATAGTCTTAAGGAAATCAAGCACTCTGACAGGAGTAAACACCCATGCTTGAGGAGTCATAATGGCCTTTCAGGCCTTTCCCGACATCCAAATTAAGTGTTGTCTACGCCAACCAGCTTCTATGGACTCAAGGTACCTCCCATAAAGATCCCGAGTCAAAACTCCAAGTTTCACTTTTTGCAATATTTACGAAAGTGCCACTGGGCACCCCCAGTGCACGCCGAGCATCCTTTTAAGCATCTTGTGTGCACGCTGAGCATCTTGTGCACGCTGACAACCCACTGAGCATCCTCATGGCTGTCTAACCAAAGCCAAAGTATTCCCAAGACATGGCATGGCCTTGAAATGCCCATGTCTTCCCTTGGACAACCGTCAAGGGGCTAACAGTAGCACATTAGCACACACACTCTCTATTTGAAACCGTTATGCATACTTTCCTCTTTTTCTAACTGTGTAAGCATCAAAGTTTTCTCCAATAAATCAGCTAGAAACAGAGAACGCATCGATCACATTTCAAAACAAACACACATCATAAATGAGTTCCATACGTTTCTTTAAACACTTCAGTTCTTCAAACCAGTACCAATCTAGACCGATTGTTCAAGTTGGAGAGAGTAGGATCATCTTGGGTCCGTATCTGGACATGACCTCTGGGATCGCTGTGAATGCGTTGGGACATGGTGATCCTGACTGGTTAAAAGCTGTTGTTGAACAGGCCAACCTGCTCACACATATCAGCAACTTATACTATTCGATCCCTCAGGTTAATGCCTTTTCTAAATAGTAGTAGGAAGTACTATGTCAAGGTTGTTCTGTTTTATTTATTTATTTATTTATTATTTTTTAAACTACTCTTGTGAATAAGTTTCTCTTTCGGTGCACAATAGAGTCCAATACCATTCAGAATGTCATATTTACAACGACATTGTAAGTATCATTCACACAATAATATCAAATCAATAATGTAATAATATTAAATTGAGAATACAATAACAATTGTTGCATTTTAATATACTGCATTAGTGTCACATCTTTGTTGAGTTGTCGAGGTAGTTGTTGAATTGTTAATTTAAAGTGCATAGGATGGTAGGACTGCAAAGTGTATAGGAAAGCATCAGGCCTTGGGAAAAAAATCCTCTCCATTTGCTTCTCACTGGAATCGGTCCAGTCTTGGCCTCACGGCTGATGTGGCAAAGCTGGTAAAATATGATTTCACTGTAGTTTTGCTTCTGTACGTCCTTTCTGCTTTTCTGCTTATACCCTTTCTGTACGCCCTTTCTGCTACCAGTATTTCATTTTCAAGTTAAAATTCCCCCCAAAACCAAAATTTAGGTTGCCCCAAAATTGATTTGATATATATATACAGATATATGCCTATAAACCAAAAACTCTTTTCTCAAATTGGTCTACATAATCGCCGCCCGACGCCGGGTGTAAAAAACCCCTCAGCCGCCGTCGCCTCGGCCTTATCATCATTGTCATGGTGGTGGTGCTTAAACCCATTATCATGGTGGTGGTGGTGACGACGCATACCGCCATGGAACATCATCAAATCAGAGTCACTGTTCTCATCTTCTCGCCTCTCTGTTCTTTCTTCCCCGCCCCAACACCAACAGACACACACATATATACACACACACACACACACACACACATATATATATATATACAGATACATATATACACACACATATATATACAGGTGGCGATGGTGAGAAATTAGTTGGGAAGTTGAGAGCGACAAATAAAGAAGCCAATCTTCATCATTTTCAATCTTTGGTGCATCAACTCAGTTTGATTGGACCAGATTGTTGTTGCAATCAGACGAACTGGGTCTGTGAGATTGGAACCACTTCTTGCCGTTGATCTGGGTTTTGGAATATTGTTATGGATCTATGATTGATGTGGGTATGGTAGGATTGATAGAGCATATTAGGATAGTCGTTGATTTAGTAGTGGTTGTTGGCGGCTTGGGGTTGGTATTGGTACTCTTTTTGTTATTTTCTATTCTTTTTCTTTGTTTTCCCAGCAAACAAACAGAGGTAAAGAAAGAGAAGAACACAAGTAAGAAACTGAAAATTGGCGATCTGAAATTGAACAAGAAATACTCATTCAAACCCTAATTACAGTAGTTCAAATATTGAAATCGATATATATAGATACCTAACTAGAATTAATTAAAAATAAGAAATTAAGGACATAATTATGCTTCTCCACTTTTCCGGCCCCTTTTCCCATCTCAGGATATATCTATGTGGAGACAAATTTTTTGAATTTAATCTTTTAAGTTATATAATTGAAGTTAATCAACCGTGGACAACAATTATACAGACCAGAGGCTTAGAGTTTTTCATTTGTAGATTTGGGATAAATCTTCTGCTTCTCTGTTTCACTGTTCAATTGTAACATTATCCAAGTATAGCAGGTTATCTGGGTTCTATTGAACTGTAATTTATATATATATATATATATATATATATAGGATGAACTTCTTCATTACGACTTAATTTAGAAAATAGTGATTTCTTATGCCTCTTGAACATTAGAGAAGATAGATGGATGCATACAGGGAGATAAGAGCATAGATGAGAGAGAGAATGCAATGTTCTCCCAAATATTAACTAGTAGTATTTATCAACATAGAAGCAATTTAAGGCCCAATTCTTTTCGTATAACCTTTAAACTTTCTGTAAAAGTGAAAATAACTCCTCAAAAAAAATTTAGTAATTGACATAAGTTATCAAAAATTAAGATCTGATGGCCCTGTTTTGGAAGAACTTTTTCCGGTGAAGAAAAGTTCATCTTCTGATGATGAAGAACAATCTCAAAAACCCATAAACAATAGTATCAATCAGGACTCAGACAAAAAAAAAAAAAAAAAAAAAAAAAAAAGGAGAAATTGACAACAAAATCGGACTGGCTTAGATCTGAAGCTATATTGGGCGAAATATTGATAGAAACTTGTATCCTTATCCGTTGAGTTCGAGCACGAACAAAAAGCTAAACAACCGGGAAATAAGGGAATCGTCAATACATAATTAGATATAGAGAGAGAAACACACACACACACATATATATATATATCTATAAAAATATAGAGAAAGAAAAGAGGAAGATAGAGAGGGGGGGAAAAGAACGCCGCTAAACCGACAAGCTGTTTGTTCTCTCGTTCGTCCTCGGCGAGGTGGGGAGAGGTGGTGCTGGTGGGTGGGTTGAATATTAGAGGATGTGATTCCTCCCTAGCCATTAAACTACAGGAGTTGGAAGGAAGAGGAACAGTGGAACTTCAAACGATGCGATGAAGATAAAGAGCAGAGGAGAAAAATTAGGTCTCTGTAATTTTGGGTACTTTTTAACAAAAAAAAAATATGTATATATATATATTTTAAATGTAATTGTAAATTATGTATTTTGATTTCGTATAATGTATAAGTGTACGATGTATTAGTATAAATGTATGGAATATTTGTACATGTGGTAAATAAAAATAGTACATTAGTAACTTTTTTGTGTAAAGGCTGACTGGGTGGTGGCTAAGTGCTGACTCGACCTTGGATCTGCACTGGATCTGCTCCAGTGAGAGGTGCACTGGAGCATATTCGGATCCTAGGCCTGTAACTGGAAATTTGAAATAAGAACAGTTCGGTATACTTTTCGTAGTATTTGGATTGAGTTTATTTTTGTTACCATCACTTTTCATAAGCATTTTATATTGTATGCCTAGATGGAACACATAATTCAGTGGTTACTCAACAATGATGGATAAAAATGAGTATATTTGTTGAATGTATGTCAAGGTTTAAACTTATGAGTCTTTGAGATTGTTGCCGGTTTGACAACAGCAATGGGGGGAGATTAATGCTGATTCTTGTTAGAAAATTCTAATCAAGTTCATTAATCAACTCGAATATCAAATTTTATAGCTGCTTGTGTGATAGTAGTACTTTTTGTAGTATTTAGGTTCAGTTGGCTTGAGAGGAATGGAAGGATAGAACGGAAAGGAAATGGGAGGCTTTGTCTTGTGTTTATTATAAAATTATGGAAGGAAATTGGAGACGCTGTCTTGTGTGTGATAAAATTATCGAATACTGATTCTACCTTTAATTTATGAACAACAAAAACAAGTATAATGGTATGGTGGTAAAGTCGGTAAAAAAAATATCCTTTCATTTTTTCCTCCCCAAATATGGTTTGGTGCTAACACAGTTTTTCTTCTTTTTTTCCCACTTTAATCAACCAAACACGATTGGAGGTTAGCATCATCTTTTTCTTCGGTTTTTTTTTTTTTTTTTTTTTTTCATATCTAATGCTGTCCTCCTGCTACACCAAACAGCATTAAAAAAAAATGGATTGTTTGAGGTTTATTTACTTTAACGGTCTAACCTCATGCATTGTTCATCAAAATTAAATGCCTAGTTTAAAAATGTTATTTTAGAGTGTTTTGTGAACAATGTTTTTCTTACCGTACGAAAGCAGCCAAAAGCGTTACTTTTTTGTTTCCAGTTTTGGTCTCTTTTTAAGAAGCGCTATGGTACTATTCAAATCACAACAACTGCTACCGAACACGCTTCGTGCTTTTGTTTCACTACAGTACACTGCAAAAACAAAAATTACGAAGCAAAAATGGTTGCCAAATGGACCCTAAGTTCCCATACGGGCACACGTTAGTGTGTAAATTTCTTGTGGATATTAAAAATATGTATATACTTGGGTAAATTGAGGTGCCGTCTGGGGAGGTTCCTGAGGCCTTCAAAAGTCCTTTTCTAAACAATTGGGACATTCGGTCACATGTAAGTCCTTTAGGAAGCCCATTTCAGAGAAGCCACATAATCTTGCTTTTTAGAAGTAATTTTTTTTTTTTTTATAGATAAATTTGTTATTTTACTAATTTGTCCACGTTCTATTTTTAAAGTGACAATATTATCCTATATTCTCTCTTGGTCATTCGTTCCTCCACCAATGCAATCGCCAACTTCCACCACCACCACCACTTTCCCTGTCATCTTCCGCCATTACCAGATTTTAGGCCAACGGTTACCGACTCAAAACGAGTCGTTTCAACTTATCTTAATCATAATTATAGATAAGTTTGCCCATAGGGACGGACCTAGTAGCAAGTGAGGGGGGTGGGCAACCCTGAATTTTTAATTTTTTACTAATATACCATGCTATTTTTTTTTTTTCTTTTTTTCAATATATACCCCTAAAATATTGCTAATGCCCTCCTTGAAATTATTATAAAATTTCAGCCTTGCCCCCCTTACCTCAAGTTCTAGGTCCGCCCTTGCAGTTGCCCACTTTCGGGTTGGATGGTGAGTTCTTCAGTTATGATTTCGCCACCGCCGCTGCTGCCACCACCACCTTCCACCGCCGCCTTTTACCACTATTGTCGCTACTGCAGCCACCACCTCCCACCACTGCCGCTATCTTCCATTGCCACCTTCTGCTACCGCCTCCTTCTGCTACCGCCCCCTTCCACTCCACCACCGCCCCCTTCCACCACCACTTTCATCACTGTCACCACAACCACCACCACTATCGCCTTCCGTCACCGCATTCCCATTGCTGCCACAACCACCTTCCACCGCCACTGTTGCCGCCACCCTTCGTCACTACCAGCCATCACACTTTCTATTGGAGGCTTATAATAATTGTCAAGATAAGAGACAATATTGTCAAGGAAATATAATTAAAAAGTGAAAGCACATTTAAGAAATACACCCGCCAAACGACTTTTTCCTCATGAATTCCTTTTACCAAAATTCCTTTTATGAAGCCCTTATCAATGAAGGACTCTTGATATTAGGAAACTCCCCCAAACGTGGTCTGAATTTTTCTTTTCTTTTGTTGAGGGAGTTTTCTGTTAAATAAAATAATTAAATCATAATTTTTTTCCCACCATCAGTTTAGGAATTACTTTTGCAATCAATTGAAAGAGCTGGCAAAATGGCACTTATCTCATTTAGAAGTTCTTTTCCCCACTAAATAAGTTCATTATCAATCATATAACTACAAGCCTTAACTTCTTCTGGATACAAGGCTTGGAATATGTTCTCTTAATCTCAATATATAGATATACCGTCAGAAACAATTGCTGACAATATATTAAGTTGAACTATTTCCATCAAGAACTGGCAAACATTCAAATAGAATCTCAGCAGCACAGTCCAATTCTTGCTCTCTAACGATCAATGGAGGCACAAGCCTTATCACATTTCCTTTTCCGGCAGTTAGTATTAGAAGGCCAGAATTACGACAAGCATCAACAAGTGGCGAGGCTGGCACATCCAACTCAATCCCTATGATAAGCCCAAGTCCGCGCACTTCTTTCACATGTGAATTTCCTCCCAACTTCTGCACTAGAAGTTCTTTAAAGTACTCCCCTTTCTTAGAAACACTGGCCAAGAAATTGGGTTACGAGATTTTATCTAAAACAGCAAGGGCAGCATTACAAATGAGGGGACCGCCAGCAAAAGTGCTCCCGTGGTCACCTGAATTTATGGCAGCAGCAACTCTTTTGGTCACCAGCACAGCTCCAATGGGCAGACCTCCGGCAAGAGGCTTAGCTAGTGTCATTATGTCTGGATATACATCATAGGCTTCATGAGCCCAGAGGTAGCCAGATCGACCTAAACCACACTGAACCTATGAAACCGGAAAGGAGATGAAACAAGGTTATTAGAAAGGCCAAACATAAGAACGACATGACTAGGAAAAAAAACAAAAACATAATATGAACTTGAGATGCATTATAAAATTTTCAGTGTCCAATGTCTCCATGTTTTATTGCTTGCTCACATTTTGCCAAAATCAACTTGAAAAAGTACCTTAGCATCTAAACTGCTTCTAAAGCAACATCATATACATAGTACAAATGTATATAAACCAAATCAAATCAAATCAGATGAGTAAATACATATGAAATCATTTAAAATACCACGACTTAAAGAGGAACAAATGTGCATAACCATAATCCAGAATGTTTCAATCCAAATTCATCTGTAAATGCTTAAATAAGAGCCTTTTAAACGACATTTAATTGAATACACGGCACCACCAGATAATTGCATTCCTAGGCATGCTGGAAGCACTTAACACGAGGACTAGGTAACTGAACAATTACATCAAAACATCTCAGGCAGGTGAACACTAATTATATTTTCACCCTTTTTCATTCTCATGGGTCAAAATACAATAAGATCAATTCATTATTTCTTTTCCACAGGGCAGGCTGTGGAGTCCAAGATACTAATTTTTAAATATGTTAAAATCATCCTACAGCCCTCCATAATGTTTAATTTAATAATATTTCACTTATAAAAAAAAATTTTAAAAAAAAAAAAGATTTTAAATAATATTTCCCAATATAAGATAACAGGGTTTTAAAAAGTAACAATGAAATAAAACCTGTTTGAGCACAATCTAATATCTAAGTAGTACCATTTTGACATATTCAAAATCTTTAAACCACAAACCTCATCAAAGACCAGAAGTGCTCCAACATCATCCCAAGCATTACGCAAAAATTGCAAGAATTCCTTTCTTGCACTGTATATCTCCCCTTCAACCTGGATGGGTTCCACAAAAACTGCTGCAGTTTTGCCCCGCTGAATTAGTTCTTTCGATTGTTGTATATTTCCATACTCTACAAAAGACACTCCAGGCATTAGAGGTTCAAAAGGTGATCGATAATGCACCTTGCTTGTCAAAGCAAGAGCACCCATGGTCCTCCCATGGAAGCAATTGCTAAAAGAAATGAACTCCGTTGCGGGCTCTTTAGCCCCAGGATGCATGCACCTTTGGAACTTCCTTGCAAATTTGATAGCAGCTTCATTTGCTTCGGTTCCAGAGTTTGAGAAAAAGACTCGATCAGCAAAAGAACAATCCAGTAGACGTTTAGCAAGTTCCACCTGCATACGACCATCAAAAGCTAAGAGACTCTCTTAATGATATTGAATTGATGTTTTCATTTTACTGATTTGTTCTTAAAAAGAAATACTAATTGTTTTATTCAAGTTAGGAAAAGGGATTATGGAACACAAAGAACCTAAAAAGGGTATCATTAAAGTAATTTGATTCACTGATATTCCTAGAATATTATGTGCTACACGCATATCCTCATACATTTCTCTTAAATTAGTAATAATTTGGCAATCTCAGTCCGACCAATACAAGTGTAACCTATTTAAATTAAACTTTATAAACTAAAGTACTGTGGCTTACATAAATTGGGTAGCTTTGCCACTTGGATTTGAGCAGTTGGTATGAAATAATGCTATCCCCCTTCTCTTTTCCTGTTCATTGACCCGTCAAAGCTAAGGTTAAGCTAATCGCAGTTTGGAGGGTTCCACTTCCACCTAATTTGTTCCATCATTTCCCTTCCTGAGAATCATTACTAATACAAATACTGTAATCTGATTATTCTACTTGATCCTTCAATTATGTCAGCAAGGTGGATTCTTTCTTTAACAAAATGCCATTCTTCCATGGGCTTCCATAATTGGAAAAGAATGTAAGAAACCGTCAATAATTCCATTCTCACCATGCCAGGAAAAGTTTTTTTTTTTATAATCTTAAAGACTCTTTTTGGTATAGCAGGAGGACAGTATGAAAAATAAATAAATAAATAAAAAGAAGATGATGATGATAATGTTAACCTCCAATCGTGTTTGGTTGATTAACGAGGGAAAAAAGAGGAAAAACAGTGTTAGCACCAAACCATATTTGGGGAGGAAAAAATGAAAGGATATTTTTTTACTGACTTTACCACTATACCATTATACTTGTTTTTGTTGTTCATAAATTAAAGGTGGAATCAGTATTACAAAAGTTTCATTAAACCTAATATCTTTCTTTCTATTTCTGGAGGGGTTAGTGAAACCCTCCTTTTCCCTCCATCTTATTCAATAATTTTTTCACACACACAAGACAAGGTCTCCCATTTCCTTCCATAATTTTATAATAAACACAAGACAAAGTCTCCCATTTCCTTTCCGTTCTATCCTTCCATTCCTCTCAAACCAACTTAACCTAAATACTACAAAAAGTACTACTATCACACAAGCAGATATAAAATTTGATATTCGAGTTGATTAATGAACTTGATTAGAATTTTCTAACAAGAATCAGCATTAATCTCCCCCCATTGCTGTTGTCAAACTGACCACAATCTTACATACTCAAAAGTTTAAACCTTGACATACATTCAACAAATATACTCATTTTTATCCATCATTGTTGAGTAACCACTGAATTATGTGTTCCATCCAGGCATACAAATTAAAATGCTTATGAAAAGTGATGGTAACAAAAATAAACTCAATCCAAATACTAAGAAAAGTATACCGAACTGTTCTTATTTCAAATTTCCAGTTACAGGGCCTGATGCTTTCCTGTACACTTTGCAGTCCTACCATCCTATGCACTTTAAATTAACAATTCAACAACTACCTCGACAACTCAACAAAGATGTGACACTAATGCAATATATTAAAATGCAACAATTGTTATTGTATTTTCGATTTAATATTATTATATTATTGATTTGATATTATTGTGTGAATGATACTTACAATGTCGTTGTAAATATGACATTCTGAATGGTATTGGACTCGATTGTGCACCGAAAGAGAAACTCATTCACAAGAGTAGTTTAAAAAATAATAAATAAATAAAACAGAACAACCTTGACATAGTATTTCCTACTACTATCTAGAAAAGGCACTAACCTGAGGGATCGAATAGTATAAGTTGCTGATATGTGTGAGCAGGTTGGCCTGTTCAACAACAGCTTTCAACCAGTCAGGATCACCATGTCCCAACGCATTCACAGCGATCCCAGAGCTCATGTCCAGATACTCTCGCCCCTCAACATCGTACAATTTATACCCACTGCCACTCGACAGCATAACCGGCGCTCTCGCGTACGTCCCAACAAGAACCCTACCTTCCGTCTTCATAACATCCTTACTGCTTCTCTCTCCGAACCCTAATTTCTCGGAATCCGGTGCCTGCAAGTCGACGCTAAGACACGCAGGGGTAACTCTCCGACCATGGATTCGGACCCAAGATGATCCTACTCTCTCCAACTTGAACAATCGGTCGAGATTGGTACTGGTTTGAAGAACTGAAGTGTTTAAAGAAACGTGAATGGAACTCATTTATGATGTGCGTTTGTTTTGAAATGTGATCGATGTGTTCTCTGTTTCTTGCTGATTTATTGGAGAAAACTTTGATGCTTACACAGTTGGAAGAAGAAGAAAGTATGCATAACGGTTTCAAATAGAGAGAGAGTGTGCTAATGTGCTACGATACTGGGATGATGTGACATTTTGCCCACCTTTTCTCCTTGCCAGGTCACACACTCAATCTCTTTTTATTTAATTATGTAATCTATTACTTCACAATTCACAATTCACAATTCACAATAATATTTTTTATAATATTCCTAATTAACCCTTATCATGAATTTCTAAAAATAATTAAAAGTTACATGTGGACCCGTTATGAAAAGCTAGCAACATGATTTACCTGCGTTATAGAATATTGTAAACAAAGTACGGAGTAACAGACAGTTTTAAGCCATGTGCTAAGCCGAATGCAAATAAACATATGTGATAAACTCACTTCCCTTGAGACTTTCTTCAAAGTCCCATATAAGAAAATGATTTCAATTTAATTACAGCATTTCTTAACTTTGACAAATCCCTTTTTATTTTTATTTTTTTCTTTCGGACTATTAAATCCAAAGCAATAGTAAAACAACGTAAAAATAACTAGATGAGAAAATAATGCAATTTACCCAAATCTATAGTTTCAAAACTAGAGTTGAGTTAATTTTTTTAAAGTTGAGTAGGCCTAGTTTGATTATTTCACAAGCAAGAATTGATGTACAAATAAACAGAAAATCAACAACAGATAGAGCAGTGATATGTGATGTACAAATAAATAGAAAATCAACAACAAATGGAGCAGTGATATCTCACATACTGAAGGCTTCTGTCCAATAAAACCAATTCCCAGAAAGATTAAGCCAGCTCAAGAAACCCTGGCTCTCGCAAGACACCAATTGCCCTGCTCAATCAAAATCTAATCTCATTTCATGTGACTAATCTTTAGTTAACTAGCCAACAATTTTTTTTTTTTTTTTAGTTGGACGGGTAGGTAAGCTTTGAATAAATAAAAAAGAGAATGTACAAGAAATTCGAATAAGAATAGGACAAGCCAAGGCCAAACAAGACAACCAAGGCTGCCACAAGAACACAGAAGTGATCAACCAATAAAACAGACAACAGAAGCAATAACCAATACAAAGCACCCTAAACTTTAAACTTTTCCATTAACAAGGACCCTATTATATCCCTTAACCGGCAGATAGTATCACATACTACAGAGAGCAGCAAAAACCCTGTAGAAGAAATCAATGATGCACCAGTAATATAACAATGAAACACTGAGCATATCCAAGAGAAATAAGACCAAGAGCAACACTAGTAACCCATGTACCAATTAGAACCCAAAGTACCAACATCCAAACATCCCAGTCTGAACAAGAAAGTGGATGTTAATCCATAGTACACTATGATTGTCCCCCTGCAAAAATAGTTGATGAAGATCTGCCTTCATTTTTTTTCCCTAACTCATTACCCATCATTTATTTCATTCAAGAAATTGTGCTAAAGAGAACAAAAACATTATGCCGTCAACACTAGAAAATTTTTAAGTACATAGATACATATATGGAAATTTTAGTTGCCAATATCAGAAATAAAGTTGAGTTCATTTTCTTCTCTATTTGATACTCCAATGGTTTAATGGTATAAGGTGAAATACTTGGAGAGAGAAGTCAGACCACAAAAGAACTGAATATAGATGTTCTTTGCCATTTGCACGTGTACAATTGCAGAAGATGATTTCATCCACCATGAAACCCATGACATGGATAAAAATAACAATTAGCAAAAACCAAAATAAGCATACAACACCAAAAAACCTGTACCAAAAAACCAAAATAAGCCTACCACACCAAAAAACCTGTACCAAAAAACCAAAATAAGCCTATTTCTCTTTTAACTTCTCCTTGGTTTCAGGTGACTTCATATAGCAATCTTCATTTTTTTTACACAAAAACCTGTCAAAAACATTAACTTTAAATTTATTCTTTATCAAATTAAAAGTCTAAATAAATAGATATATACTCCGTAAAAGGGAAGAAAAAAAAAAAAAAAAAAATCACCTTGCTATCAAAAGTATCATCCCAGTTGAAGATGAAGGAGAGTTCTTTCAACAACATCAAGTTCACAGCACAATTAAGAAGGAAGATTGTTATCTCTCTCCAATTGATTTTTCCCCATATGTGGCAATTTGTAATTATTTTCCCCATAGACTCTCATTGTTTCAATCATGCATCCTAGCAATGTTAAAAAAACATGATCAAGATTTTGAGTTGGAAATTCATTAAAAACTTTTTTTACGGCGGCAACTAACTCATCAACTGTAGTGGGAGGTTGTTGGTAGTGAGAACTTGTTGGTATTGAAGTGATTGAATTGCTATGTACAAGTGTAACCTATTTAAATTAAACTTTATAAACTAAAGGACTGTGGCTTACATAAAATGGGTGGCTTTGCCACTTAGATTTGAGCAGTTGGTATGAAATAATGCTATCCCCCTTCCCTTTTCCTGTCATTGTGTTGGGATTTATATACTTTGGCATAGCAAATTCCTATCTGGATAATAGTGACATATGTTTCTGATGTTTCTGAAATATTTATGCTTTATATAATTGGTGAATTCAATGTATTATATTTCGATTCATTATAGAATTGATAGCGTCCACTTGATTACAAGATATATTAATATACGTATGAGATGGCGATCAATATATAAATATAAATAATAATCATAAATTGTTCATAGTCGGTAATTATGGATAGACTCATAATTAATTAAGACTTGAACTAAATCCGCGTTAGGTTGAGATATATTGCGAGAGCCGTCGTATGAAACTGCTCCCTATCACTGTGATGCATTTGACTCTTAAGTATGAGAAAAATATAAACTCTTTTATTAATTAATAATTACTTTGATTTGTTCGGCGAATACTTCGGGATCCTTAGACCGACACTTTGAGTAGTTATGTAATTAATAGTTAGAGGGTTATATTTTCAATATTTGCATCATTGTTACTTGTATTTATTTTGTATTGATTATGGTTGATCACAAAGTAAATTCAAAGGCCTTCGTATGTTTTTAGACAAAATGATTTATTATATATTTATTTATTTAAATTATTATTTTTGTCAAATAAATGTTTTATTGTGATCGAGTCAGAAATAATCAATGGTACCAAAATAAATATATTAATTAAGTAGTCGGATTGATGGATTTATTTATCCAATAACTAATTATGCATAGAGGGGTCAAAGTGCAATATTGACTTAGAGGTTATTTATTATTTAATTAGAGTTCAATTAATTTCTTTTAGTGGAGTAGAAATTAATTTATGAATTAATTGAATTGGGTCCATGAACCGGGTCAATTATTAATTCATTGTAGCCAATAAAATAATAGGCCCAATGGATTCTCACTCATAGCCCAACTTGATATTGGAATCATATTAGATTTGAGACATGTGAATTAAAGATTGAGAATGATTTGTTGTTTCCTTTTCTTTATCTTTATGTTGCCTATAAATATACATGGTCTATGTATATTTTAGGGGTGATTTTTGGAAGAAGGAAAAATGAATCTATTTTCTCTCTCTAGAAAATTAGGGTTTATATTCTCATCTAATGGAGGCTCCCACAAGCCTAGTTTTCCAAAGTCATTCATGGAGGCATATGAGTGATTCCTAAAGGCAAAACAATTACCAAGATGATGGAGATTCAAGGAGAAGGCATCTTGCTAAGGGATCTACAATAAGTGAGAACATTCACTTTAGAAGAAAGATTTAAAGGTTTACTCAGACCTTTGATGTAAGTATTTAATCCATTAATTGAAGATACATCATATTTTATTTTTGCAAAAAACTTGTCTCTATGTGATGAATCAAGATTTATGAATCAAAATCCCTCAAAAAGTTTTTAAAACTAGCACGTTTCCCAACAGTGGTATCAGAGCATGGTTTGATTTATTACTAGAGATCATATTTTTATCAAAATTCATCATTCATGGATCCAAAATTATATTCATATATATTTTTATTGATGTATGCTAATATATGATTTAATATATTGATATATATTGATGCATAATGATGTATGTATAATTGTGAATGAATGATGATATATGGTTGGGCCATGGATGAAGCTTATAGGTTAAATTAATATAATTTTATCTTTGGATGAATATAATTAAGGCTTTGATTTAGCCGTTTGAAAGTTCAATGATGTGATTTAATTTTTTCCATTGTATTTCAAATTGTAAATTTATTTAAAGCCATGTAATATTCATCAAAGGGTGCTATGAAGCTTCAAAAAGGTCCAAAAGGGTTAAATTAGGCTTCAGGAATTTTCTGAAATTTTTCTGGAATTTTTCGGAATTTTTCTAGAATTTTTTGGGCTTAATTTATATTTTCTGGAATTTTCGGCGTTTTTTCGGCGACCGGAAAATTACCGGCAGTGAGGTATTGGCCGGAGATAGGAGGACTGATGATCACATGTTTCGCGAAACACAATTATATGGTGCAACTGGAATCTGAGCTTTTGGATAATGGGAATTTATCCCATGCGGCGCACACACGCGCCAGGAAGTGAGGCTTGAGAACCTTGCTGGCGCGTGCATCTCACATGCCAGCCAAAGCAATTTCCCCCTATGCACGTGGAACGCTTAGGGGCGCATGACCTGCACTGCTGCATGCCCCAGGCGCGTGCGAGCATGTGTGGGGCCTTTCGGGCGCATTCCAAGTGTTGTTTTGGCTTCTCCAGGCACGTAACTGCTCCTTTCGGGTGTTATCAAGCCGTTGGTAAACGCCCGTACAACAAGAATAGTATTTAAATGTTAAAAGCTGACTCCATTGGCTATTTTATCTTCTTTATCTATCATTTATTGATGTATGCGATGCATGGAAGAATTAATTGTTTATTATTATTATTCATACATTGAATCCATGATATTTATTTAAATGGCTTGATTTATATTAATTAAGTTATGAAAATTAATTGGATATGATTACTAATTAATTTGAGTGCACTCATTCGGAAACGAAAAATTATTTTTGTAAA